GTGGATAAAAAACAAGCAAGGCTTAAGTCTATTAAAGACATTTCGGGGCCCACTTATTTCCCATCACCGTAAGAGCAGAACAAGAGAGAGGTATAGTCAATTTGATTTTAAGGATGCTCAGGATTTCGGTAAGGATCTCAGATCCTTACTAACAAATTTAACAAGTTATGATTGCTATTCAAAATCCTTTTGACAATCACCTTTCGGAACCACTAAAATGATCCACACAAAGGGAAAGAGGAGAGACAGCTGCTATTACGTTCCATAGGCCTTTTAAAGAACATGAAGTTGTTCCTTTGGCCACATACACGTGAATCTACAAGAAAGGTGATATTATAGGCATCAGGGGACTGGGCACTGTTATAAAAGGAATGCCCAATAAATGTTACCAGGGCAAAACTAGAAGAGTCTACAGTGTCACCCAGTATGCAGCCAGCATTGCAAATACACAAGTTAAGGGCATAATCCTACCTCGAGAATTAAAGTAAGTACTGAGCACATTAAGCACTCTCAGAGCTGAGACAGCTTCCTGAAACGTGCAAAGGAGCATGATCAGAGAAAGATGGAAGACAAAAAGAAAGGTACCTGGATTCAACTGAAGTGCCAGCCGGCTCCACCCAGAGAAGCACACTGTGTGTGAACCAACGGAAAGGAGGTGCTGGAACCCATCCCCTCTGAATTCATGGCATGATAAGTGTAAAAAAACACAAATAAATATAAAAGACCTTTTACCATTAAAAAAAAAATCCCTATAACAATCATTCAGGAGCTGCTATATATACAAGGTGACTATAAACTCAAAGCACAAGTAAAAGAAAGGGGACTTGGGGACAAAGAGCATGCTCTGCACTTAACAGACAATACTGATGGACTTTGGTGCCTCCAAACCACAGGGCACATTTCAGGTATCCAAAGAAAGGATGATAATTTCTATGTTACTATGAAACTCAGACTCCTACAGAGACCATATTAGTCTTCTTAAGTAGTTTCATCAGCATCATCTATGAGTCAAACTTTATATTTAAATGGCAAAACAGGCTCATCAATAATTAGGCCTTGGAACACATCCATATTAGAAGCATAAAATAAATGCTTGTTACAAAACAACTCTACAGGGCTGGGTTTACACATCAAGAGTCCTCAATCAAGAAGGCCCGTATGACAGCACAAAGGATATACTTTAATGTCAATGTATAACAAAACTTAAATGATACAATAAAGCTGTAAGATCAGAAACAGACCCTCTCTCCATAACATATACACACAAAACAAAACAAAAATAGCATGGAGCCACATAAGTTAGACTTATAGAGGGGCTTTGCTGTTCATGTAGCTCAACTAACCTCATTTTACCCATGAGGAAACTAAATCCCAGAAAAGTAGTCCAATATGACTTAGACTGGATTCTAGGCTCAGTGTCTCCACTCCAACCTCATTAGACCAGCTTCTTCTAAACAAACTTGAGGGAGGAGAGGTACAGCATTACCATTCTTATTGTTGGCTGATACTTCAAAGGATCCAAAGATCTTGGGGATCTTTTTCTTCTTTAGTCTCCAGGACTAAAAGCTAAACAAAACTAATGTTCCAACAGATTCCCCAGAAAAACCAAAATTCTCAAAAGTAAATACAGGATCAGAACCTATACAGAACCACTATAACATTACTGCAGAATCACAGCAATTCATTTTCAAATCCTTTTCATATACACTTCTCCTCAAGAACCACAGCTCAGGAGAGAAAGGAGTCTGAAATGCAGATCAGATAAATGGGACTGTGCCAGAATCAGAAGAGCCTCAGACATGAAGCAAAACAAACTTTATCTTTGGTTTGCAATATTCAGAAGAAAGGGGAATTTCCTGTAAGCCTCAGGGAACCTTTCCCAGAAGGCCTTAGGGTTGCTGAGATGAAACATTCTCTGGGTCGTTACATCCATGAATTCAATCTCATCATTCTTAAAGGTCATCGGCTACATTTAGATTTAGTTTTCCCATTAAACCAAAGGGAAAATGTCATAGAGGGATCAGAAACAGGCAAAGCTGGGAAGAGGGCATGCTGGGAAAGTGGCATCCAACTTAGCTGAGTGATGGACTATGGAAGGTCCTGCCTGACTTTCTGTAGCATCTGTATTCTAAGGCTGCATGACATACTCTATACAACCTTTTCGGTTCCTGTTTTTGAGCATACAGAAGCAATATACAACATTGTTTCCAAACCATACAACTCCAGAAGCTTATGAGTTAGACTTTACTATGCTTACTGTAGACTTTAAACAAAACTCATATAAAACTTCAGAGACTATCAAACTTTTGAACACCCAGTCCATATATTAATTATATCACAGACCTAAATGCTTAAGCTCAAAAGGGAAAGAAACATCAAATTTTAGAACATACAAATTCATTGTTTCTTATTAAAAACCCAATGTCATTAGTATTGAAAATTACTAAACACTTTTTTCTAAGTAGTAATACAGGTTAGTCAAATTACTTTTAAGTGGCTTTGAGACTGATAATTTTAGAAGACCCTCCCAAGAATATTCTACCACTTTGATAGCCAAATAAACATAAAGCAATTAGTCACTGAAATAAAACACATATTGCCTGATCCATGTTTATCTGTAAAACTTCAAAAATATCTGCCCTACTTACAGCAAAAAATGGTTGAACATGAAAATCAAAATGAGACAGTATGTGAAAGTGCTTGATAAGCACTTAAAATCATAACATATAAAGTCAGTTAGTAGAGTTTACACAAAGAATAGTTAAGTATGAGTAATGCTGTAAGTTGGTATGGTAAACTAAGAAGGTGTCGCTAACACAGCATCTAATTTTAGTTCAACCATTAAGTACCAGTAACCTCATCATAAGACAAGTCATTAATGCCCACTGAACCCCATTTTCTTATTTGTAAAGTAACAGAATGGACTAAAGATCTTAAGTCTTTTTTGGCTCTGCCACTTTGATTAGTAATATTTCACACCTAAATTACTGCTATTATATAAAAAAGTAGCATTTCATATAACTAAACATTCTCATTGTTTGTCACCACGTCACAAGTAGATATCACACCTTTCCCAATTCAGCAGATACAGCAATGAATATTAGTACCTTTTATAGACCTACGTGCAGACCTGTGACATGTTCAAAGCACTATTACATATTCCTTCACAGGGTGGGTCAAAGATTAAATGAGTTGAAGACATTTTATCCCTCATTTACCAGACTAGTGAACTGAAGCTGAGACCAAGTCATCTACCAACAACTCACAGCTGCAAGAGTAAAAGCTGGAAGGAGAAAGCAGGTCCCATGCTCTTCTTAATCAGGGATATAACTGAGCATCTGAAATGGAAATATAACAGAGCCAACCTTCTAATGTCCAGCTGGCTGTGGTAGGAGAGGAGGCAGTCACTCACGTTTGCCAAACCATTAGGCACTGTTCTTTCTGGCTGCTGGGGACACAGTAATGAACAAAAGAAAAATCCCTGGCCTCACTGAGCTTACATTGTGGTTGGGAAAAATCAACAAGGTAAATGAGTAAAATATAGGGTATATTACAGTGGTAAGTGCTGTGGAGAAAAATAAAACATGACAAGATAGAGCGTATGTGTTTGGGGATTTGCAATTTTCTTTTAAGCCCGCTGGATGCCACTTAAAGAACTACAATAATGCATCTAGAGTAGTTTTCTTAAGCATTTCCCCAAACAGGGAACACTTTGGGTACCAGGAAGACTCAGGCCTACTGATTCCCATTTCAGATTGATTGCTGGAACCTCCCAACCGCTAGCTATGAGCTGTCATATTGGCAATCCAAATGCCCTGCTAACAAAGACTCCCACCACCACCCCACCTTTAAATCCACGGAGTGCAAACTGATTTACCAACGAAAGAGCCAAAGTTACAAGAGCACTTGAACTGCTTCTGAGTTAGGGCAAATGTCTCCTAACGTAAAGGTCAAAATGTAGTTTGTGTGCTGAGCTTTACTAGGACAAAGCACTAAGAACGCAGTACACATCATTTTGCTTTTTCTGACCTGTCAATTCTACTGACATTTTCTACTATTAGTCTATATTTAACCAGCTTACTGGGCAGTTTCTCCAGCTTTTAGAATTTTTTTTTCTTTTGTTAAAAGAGCAACCCAGTTTGCAAGAAAGTTGCTATACGAAAAGGTAACAGCCCCATGCAAGATTTGATACACTTGGTTAAACATTACTCATCAACCTTTAACCAGGTTAGTTGAGATGGCTAATCAGGTTAAGCTTTGTTTCACTGAAGTTTTAAAACGCTCTTCGAGTCACTAGTCTTCTGGTCCTCGAGTTGTAACTGCATCCTGAGAATTACAGTAAGTCTTTTAAAATTCGGGACAGCTTACTTCAACGCGTTTCTATAACGCACAGCCCGTCTTTTAAACGGAGTTCCCACAAGGGAGTGTTAAAGACACATTTGACAGGAACTTCGGCCTTGGGGTCGGATTGCCTATCCCAAAGAGAAGACACAATATACAATAGGGTTTTCCCTCTGCCCACACGGGTGGGGAGGTTGTTTGTGTGGCCTCTCCGCGGGAGGGGCGCTACCGGCCACGGGCCCCGCCGACTGCGCGTCGATTAGGAGGCGAACAGCCGGCAAACTTCAGCCGAGGGGGCGGCTCTTCTCGGGCGCGGCCCCGCCCTGCTCGCCCGTGCAGGTCCCGAGCCAGCCCAGGACGGCGTCCGGGGGCCTCCGGGGCTCGGAGGCCCGGACGAGCGCCAGGTTGTGGGAATCGGAGGAGAGCGGGCCGAGGAGTTGCGGCCCGGGTCCGGGGTCAACTCTAGGGTGGCAAGGGTCCCGTGGGGGCCCATCCCAAGGGTGGGCGAAGCCATAGGAGCTGTCCTGGGGGGCCTGCAGTGATGTCTGCCGGGAGGGACCCCAGCGGCTGGGGGGTGGTGACACGAACTCTGATGCCACGCCCGGCCCTCCCCGCCCCCGGGTTCAGGACTGCACAGCCCCGCCCGACCCCCTCCTCACCTGATGTACGGACTGGCCGCCGCCAAGATGTTCTTTTGCACGGGGATCTCCTCCCCATCGAGGACAAGGTGCGCGTCGCAGAAGCGGGACTCCTCGCGGAAAGAGCTGAGCGCTCGCAGCAGGCGCGCGGCGTGCTGCGGATCGGACACGGCGCTACCCTCGGCCATCGCGGCGCCCGCTAGTCAGTCGGCCGGTCCCGCTCAGGACGCAGCCTCGCTGGGCCCTTGGAGCCGTCCGCGGCCAACGCGCGCCCAGTCTGCACAGTCCGCGCGCGCGCGCGCCCGCTCCCGCTCGGCCAGACTCTCAGCGATCCTTGAACAAGCGGGAGCCCTCAAAACGCGCCTGCGCCATCCCCGGAGAGAGGGGCTGGTACCTTTAAGGAGTCCGGGCATTGCGTCATTTTTCCGCGACGCCTCCACGCCCGCCGTCGCCGGAAGCGACCAATCAGAAGCCCGTTCCTCAGTCAGACCCTCCGGTTCCGCCCCCGCACAGCCACGGGTTGTCCACGGCTGGAGTGATCGCTGCGGTAACGAAGGTGTGCGGGCTGGCTGGAACGCTGTATGATTAAGCTGGTGGCGTGTGGAGCCCCGAGTTTCGGCTCTTCTGCTCTCTTGCTGTGTGACCATGGGTACGGTACCCATCTTCAACTTCTCCATCTGCAAAATGAAGATGATGACTTCTCAGTGTTGTGGACTCACGTGAGATAACGCACGTAAGCAAGGGCTCAGTAGATGTACCTTTCATTATGTATGAAAGAAAAACCGCTTCCCAGGTAAGGGCAGAGACGCGAGAAAACAATTTTGGAAAAGAGCGTTTTGGTTTGCGGCCTGGGCAGGAGATGAAGCTGGAAGAGTAAGCGGCAGATCTTAAAATTTTTCAGGGCCTCCTTGGCCGTGGTAAGGAAGTTGGTCTTAATTCCTGTAGGTGTTAGGAATCATGAAAGGTCTTTGAGCAGGGGGTTTTATAGACATCACTCAGCCGCTGCACGGAGAGTGGGGTCGGGGGGAGTGGGGAGGGTGCTAAAGACAGAATGATGCTTAAATACTGCCGTACTTGAGGGAAGAGAATGGTAGTCTAGATGGAAGGGTGATGATGGAAGGGTACAGTAGCGGACGGCTTTAAAAGAATAGATACAATTGTGAGGGAGGGGGAGTCCAGGATAATGTTCTGGGTTGAAATAACTGCATGGATGTTGGTGGCTTTGAGAGAGAGAGAGGAAACGCTGAAGGGCTAGGGGGTAGAGAGGCCAAGCGTTCAGTTGTGACAGGAAGCAACTCTGGGTCAGCTTGGCCAGCAAGGCAAGACCTATACCGTCTGAGGTTTCATGGAGGTTGTTAGGGGTACATGGGATATGGGATGTAGCCACCATTTTGTACAAACAGGTAGTCAATAAGTGTTTAAAGAAATAGCAGTTTTACGAGGACCAGCGCCCAGAAGAATGTGATTGGCATTCCAGATCAAGCAGGATGCGGTTTTCACTGGATCAGCTCACTCTTTTCCTTCAGCCAAAGACTTCAATAAAGTCTTGGATCTTTACCCTGAGCCAGCCGAGGCTTTGGAGTCACTGGCATGAATCAGAGTACATAACTCTGGTAGAGTCACTGGCAGAATAGATGGGAAGAAGGATGCCACCAGTGAAGATCCAGATATTTCTAGTCTCTTCTTCAAATGCAGCTCAGTATTTATGGGTGAAATGATAAAAAATGTTTAGGTTTGGTTTCAAAACAAAAGGAAGGGACTAGGGGAAGCGGGTGGAGGTATAGGTGAATCAAAAGTGGATCTGAGTGACTAATTGTTAAAGCCGGGTTATGGGTATGTGGAGATTTGTTGTACTAGTCTCTGTATTTTTGTGTATGTTGTAAAATGTCATAAGAAGTAAAAAACAAGATAAGCAGCTCAAGCGTTTCTTCTCCATGATACCTGTCCAATATTCCAGAGAGTTTAGACACTCCTTTTTCCAAGTTGTTGCTGTACTTTGAACATTTCTCTGGCAGTACACTTATTGTAATGAGTTTATTTATTCATGTTATCTGCTAGCTTGTAAATTTTAGTGTGTCTCGATTTCCAAGTGCCAAGCACAGTGCCTGGTAGTGCTCAGTGAATTGTGGGTGGATAGAGGGATTAAAAATTTTGTGGCCGCTCTCCCTCTTTGGAGCATGCCTGCGTCTTGACTCCCCCCCCCCCCCCGCTTCTCTCCCCAGGTGCATTACCTTCACTTTCTGTCTCCTAAGTTCCAAGGGCCCCTCTTTTGCTTCTGTAACTTGTTTCCTGAGCCTATGCCGACCAGCTGGCTCACTTCTACTGCCTCTGTAACTTTCTAAATAAACTTGCTCTTATAATTTGAAAAATAAATTATGAATACCAGGCACTTAATAAATGTTTTCAGCCCTGGCTGGTGTGATTCAATGGATTGGGTGCCAGCCTGTGAACCAAAAGGTTGCCAGTTCAAATCCCAGTCGGGGGTCATGCCTGGGTTCGGGGCCAGGTTCTCACTTGGGGGCGTGCAAGAGGCAACTGTTTCACTCTTACAGCAATGTTTCATTCCCCTCCCTTATTCCCTTCCCCTCTCTCTAAGGGTGAATAAATAAAATCTTTCTAAAAAAATTGTTTTCAGAATTGCAGTTTCTTTTTAGTTTATTTGTGTTTATCTTCTTTCTCTGCTTGGTTGTTGTTGGGGTCAAAAATGGTACATATGACAGAGTTCTCTACACCTTGTAGATACTGGATAAATATTTATTGATTCTTTGCTTGGAATGCTGGTCTACTCTTCACATGTCAGAGGTTTCAAAACAAAACAAAGAGCTCAAATAACAGAATCACCCTGAGGTAACCAGTTATCCCAGAAAGGGAGTGTTGCCTCAGCTGAATTAATTGGAGGTAAGTGGGGATTAGTCAGGCAGGCTCTTCCTGGTAGAGGTGAACCTTCTCTGTTGTTTTGACAGATGGAAGGAATGGGAGGACCTGGGCAGCGGGCTGTAGACAGACCAGCGTCACTCAGGGGAAAGGTAGTTGCTGGCTTGAGAGGGTCACCTATGCAACAGGCAGCTAATCAGCAGAACTTGTATATGCTTTCGATACCACCTCACTGGTTGCAGTAGCCCCCTCCAACCTGCCTGCCTGAATAACTCATATTCAGCCTTCAAAACCGAGCTCAAAATGACCTTCAGGGAACCTCCAACCAGCCTCTCATGGCCGAGTCCTCATGCACGTCCATGCCTCCTGTGCTGCACTGACTTCACCGCCCTGTAATTAACTGGTTTATAAGTTGGTTTGTGAGCTCCTCCGGGGTGCTTAGTAGGTGCACCCCAATGCTTTCATGTAATCAGTTAGAGGTAGCAGGTTGGGGAATTGAGCCAGGGAGGCAGGCTATAGCACAATAGCGGTGGGAGGGGTTACAGGGTACTGAAGGGCACACACACCCTGGCTCACGCGGGAGGAGGCTGGTCAGCCAGCTGATTGCACCAGTGGATAAGGGCCCAGTGGTGCCGAATCCAATGATTTTTCAAGAGCTCTGGAAATTTAGATTCACATGTCGAATGTTCCAGTTTTTCTTTTGTTTTTTGGGGGTTTTTTTGAGTTTTTAAATTTTATTTTATGTACAAAGAACTAGCCATTCTCCAATAAGGCAGATGTCTTGAATGACCCATTCAAAGAAGTTCACTTAGTCCAATTTAATGAAGTCTATATCCTTCAGGTGCTGATGGAAACTGGCGGCACATATTAAGGCCATACTTCCAGCTCAGGCTGTGCTGGTTTGAGCAGACACAGCAAGAACGAGAACCCTGGCTGAATTTTCTCAGATGGCTCCAGTGGAGCTGCTGGTGACCCATCTTGCTCTCTCTGCTGCAATATCCAAATGTCCTGGTTTTTCAACATGAGCTACCAATTCCATTTGAGAAATAAAGATGCAGCATATGACTGGCCTTAATTCATTTCCAGAAGTAATCAGAAACCCATCTTGGTTTATTGAGAAGGGAGTTAACAATCAAAAGTATGCTAGGCTCTCAATAAAAATTGTTGAGTTGAACTCAGGTGCCCCAAGAAAACTCATCCTGGTGCTATAGGGAAGGAAGAGGGTCCAAATGTGGGAAGAAAGATGGGGGCAGAACCTACCCTTCCATCTGCTGTAAGAGCCACTCCTGATTGGGCAATAAACTGCTCTGCAGTCTTTCTTGATGTTGCTCAAACTGAGCCGGCCTTGGTATTGTTTATTGGCCATCAGAATGGTATATTTGGTGTTATTGTCTCTCTACATTCCATGGATGTAAGATACCAGCTATTGTGAAACATATAATGTAAGAGATCCGGTATCTGCCCAGCAGTTTCAGTCTCTGGTGACTATAACTGTTCCCTTCTGGTTTAGAGCCTAAACAACCCCCAAAAGAGGACTTACTTTGTTGTTGTTTTTTGTCTGAAGACTAATAAGGATGTTTACAAGATATTAACAGTAGTCATTCAACAGATATTAAGCACCTGCTATATGGTATATATTGCAGATACAACAATGGTAAAAACATAGTTACCTCAGTGGTATCATTGTAGAGGTTTTTTACTCTCTGCTTTTCTGATCATGTATCATTTTTTTTCTCAAAAAGAAAAGCAAACAAAACAATTTCCACATGCTAAAAAGAAAGAAAACAGCTTTGCTTTAAAAAGTGATCCCTCAAAGAAGAGAAAAATCGCCTTGGGGTTTGGGGTTTTATTTTCTAATAAATGTTAGGGAGAGGAATGGGAATCCAGTAAAAGAACTAATACAAAAAAAAAATGAATAGTTTGAAAACTCTTGAGAAGTCATCTAATCCAATGGATTCATTTTATTCAAGAGAAAATTGAAGATGAGCAAACAGCTTGGTCAAGGTCATACATGTGACCTTGTAGGGCAGAACAAGTAGGCCTAGAGCTTCTGCCTTCTAGCCCTGTAAGCTTTTCCATTACACAAAGTTGACTCTTTGTAAACATTAATTTGGTTGAGACAGTCTCTTCTGATTCATTTTAAGGCGGTCTTCAAATATTTTATTGCATAAATCTGTCCTTTATCCAAATCTATACATAGCTCCTTTCTCTCTGAAAATCTAAGCTCTTTCAAATTGCTGTGTCAGAGAACATCTCAGTATTTTTAACTCTTGAGAGTTGTTTCTATATATTTATACAGTATTCAGAGAAGTGTCTCAGAAACCAGTGAACTAATTAAGTTGTATTGAAGATAGTGACTGTTTCTGTCTAAATTCATGCTGTACTCCCCAGCATCCAGCATGGTGCCTGACACACAGTAGGTGCTCAATAAATATTTGTCAAATGACTACATGTTAATGGG